AAGGAATTGGCAAAGTTTTGTAATAGCTGCCAAGATGACTGGGATGTCTTACTCCCTCCACTGTTGATGGCCTATAGAACAGCAAAGCATGAAGCCATTGGATACACTCCAGCAATGCTGATGTTTGGTCGGGAACTTTGGTTGCCAGTGAACTTGATAACAGGACGCCCCCTCACGTAGAGTTGCCTGAAAATGTGCCCGAGTTCGTGAAAGTGCTATCTGAAAGGATGGATGATATTCACCATCTAGTGCGTTCAAACTTGAAAACGTCTGCTGATTCCATGAATCTATGTTATGATAAGAAGTCTACTGAAGTCAGCTTTGTACCAGGAGACAAGGTGTGGTTGTATAATCCCAGGAAGACCAAAGGGAAGAGTCCTAAGTTGTCTTCTCCATGGGAAGGCCCATATGACTTAATGGATCGTCTCTCAGATGTGACTTTCCGAATAAAATGTGGTCGGCGAGGTAAGCCAAAGGTGGTGCATGCCAACAGGCTTTGGCATTATCACAGTCCAGGATATTTCAGTTGGAATGAAGTGAACAACGAAACAAATGATGCTGCTGAAGACGTGTCACCTGAAAAAGCCACTGTCGAAGAGAAAACTCCACCGGGTTTTTAGAAGGAAAACAGTGAAGCCATTAATGAAGTTACTACCACTGATGTGACAGCTACCGATAATGGGACATTTCCTGATGGAGCAGATGAATCCCACGTGAAGCCAATGAGACAGAGACCAGCATGGTAGAAGAAACGTCCTGTAAAATTAAGAGACTTTGTTGTATTTTAATTTTGTGTTTGTAAATTCTGTACATTAATTAAGTTATTGTTAATCATCTATTGGTTTAATGTAAGTGGCCATTGTTTGGGACGAACAATACTAAGGAATGGGCAGTGTTATGACAGCGGAAGTCACGTGACGCTGCTAGCGCATGCGTGACTGAGTTTCTCGAATTATCAGGGAACTTTTCGAATTTTGTCGAAGCATCTTTGTTAGTATATTAGTCTGGCAGAGAAAAGCCGGGGGATGAATGTATGATAAAACGAACAGTAGTAATTTACGATTTTGTTTCGAGCTAGTGTGTGTTTTGCACTCGCAGAGAGCGAAGTTATCGAGATTGTGAATCGCTG